TGGCTACATGGCATCTCTCTGACTTTGCCTACTCTCTCTATATATCACTGTTCCGATTTCCCACCTGACTTTGTTCTGCTAAGTCACTGGCCGAAACAGCTTCTTTATTAAACATTGATAATAAAATATATTCACAGCATTCAGAGGGGGATCCCACATCAGACAAGTGTGGTAGTTTGAACGTAATTGGCTCCCATAAACTTATAGGGAGTGGCTCTCTAAGTATGCCACCATAAGTGGCACTACTGGGAGGTGTGGCCTTGTTGAAGTAGGTGTGGTCTTCTTGCAGGAAGTATTTCACTGTGGGGTCAGGCTTTGAGATTTCTTTTGCTGAATTTCACTCATTGTCACAGTCCATTTCCTGTTGCCTGCAAGATGTAGAATTCTCAGATATTTCTCCAGTACCATGTTTGCCTGCACATTGCCATGTCCCATCATGATGATAATGAACTGAACCTCTGAACTGTAAGCAAGCCACCCTCAATTAAATGTTTTCCTTTAAAAGAATTGGTGTGATCATGGTGTCTCTTCACAGCAATAGAAACCCTAACTAAAATAGCAAGGAAGGTTAATTCCTGTCTTTAGTTGTTTCAACACCAACCTATCTTGCATCAGAGCCTTATATACTTCACTGCCTGAGCCATCTCTTCAACTTGCAAATTCCATTTGCAACCAAAATATTTCATCACTGCACTCATGATATTCATTCTTCTTCTTCACAGACACTTGGTTTAAACACAGACGAAGACATTCATCAGCATTTCCAGTGGCTTCTCCATTTCCTGAACAAGCCTAACAAAAAGTACTTACTTAAAATGGCCAACAGGCTCTTTGCCGAGAATACTTGTGAATTCCTCCCAGTAAGTTGTACCAAGTAGAATGATAACCATTATATTCCAATACTTGTTGCTATCGATCCCAGGAGAAGGACTCTATAGAACTTGATAAAATTAAGAAGCAACTTCTAGTTATTATGATGGTACACATCTATAATATCTGCATTTAGAGAGTTGGGACAGGAGGGCCATGAGTACTTGGCCAACCTAGGCTATATAGTGAGACTCAACTACCTAAACTACCTAAACTTCTTCAAAGACAAATTCTTCAATGATACCTTGAAATATTTTAAAATTGACTGCTGTGAATTTTTATTTATTCATGTCTAGTTTATCCCCTTGCAAAGATCTAGCATATATAAATGTTTCTTGCTTAGTGCAATATATATATACTCATTTTAGGTATTTTTTTCACGCCCCAGTATTCAGAATGTTGACATGCTTGGTGACATTATATTTTCCAATGTTATCTCCCTGAACACTTTTCTCTCCAAAGACCTTTAAGGAGTCCTGTCTTCAGTTCTATCACTCGGAGCTGGAGCAGCTGTCCTTTGACAAAGCTCCAGAGGAGTCCAGGAAGCACATAAACACGTGGGTCTCCAAACAGACTAAAGGTCAGAATTTCAAAATATTTCACAGCCCACATTCTTGTCCTTTCCATCCACTCCTTTCACTTCTTTCTCTTACCTTTTCCCTTCTCCCACCATGGACTAAGCTCACTGTTATTTCAGAGAGTCAGAGTGATGCAGACTAGCTAGGCCACATAGTATAATTTACACAGCTGTGAATTCATGGAGGCTCTACTCAGACTCTTAGACTTTTAAAAACAGAGTTATTTGTATATTTCTTCAGGTCAGAGGGGTTGGTACAAATCTCATCAGAATTCATGGGCCTGAATTCCAGTCTAACAATTTATATGAAAAGACACAAGTTGGTGGCAGGTCAAGGGATTCTACCATCTCTGAGATGGAAATTCACAGGTAGACCTTTCCCATAATCTTGACCTGGGGTTGCATCTTCCTACAATGTGTTCCTGTGGTACCAACCACCTTTGCCACTGAGGAGGATTCCTGTTTCTGCTTCCTCATATCCTGCCTCAGATTCCTTGGTGAAACTAGCCTTGACTTCCACTGAAGATACTCTGTCTGGATACTCAGTAACACTGACCTAAAAGAGCCTTCCATTTGGTGTTGAATCTTTTTTGTTTCTATTTCAGAGATGACAATTTCCAGCATTGGTCTTTGAGATCATTTGAATCATTGTCTGATATTTAAGCCTTTCAGATACATTCCTGTTTCTGCTAATAGAGAGACAGTAAGATTGAGAATCTTTTCTTAAAGATTCAGCAATTATTTGTGAATTTCTTGTCGGAGTCTTTACCTCCTATGCAATCTTGATGTCATAGGTTAGTAAGGTTTCTCTTGGCTATTGAAGAGTTACCCCTCATTAGAGAAAAAGGGAATCTTTCCTTTTACTGAATTATCTCTTCCAGGGATAGACGGCACTCCCAAGTCTAGAGTAGTAATACCTCCTTCAAAGACCTGGACATAACAGGGGGTGCTGGATGAGATGTATTTAACCCTAGCGTATTAGTTGGAGTACTATAGAGGAACAGAATGAGTGCGCGTTATTGAGGGGATTTAATAGATTGGCATACGCAATGCAGACTGAGTAGTCAGACAGTAGCCATCTGCATGGAGAGAAGCCGAGAACTGGTAGTGCTCAGTCTATGAGGCTGGAGACCTTATCACTTTTAATCTGGCATTAGAAGGCAAGAGAAGTCCAGATGGACACTAGTCTTAGTCCACATGAAGGCCAAATCAATTGTGTTCCAATGTCAGAGGAAAATGGCAGGTACAGTGATGTGGAAAAAAAAAAAGATGCAGGGACTAGCAAGGACTGAAGGCAGGTAGATAAAAACGGTGCTGCTTCTCTCTGCCCTTTATAGATGGGCATCACAGGAGGGCATTGTCCACTCTGGGGAGCGTCCTCTCCATTAGTTACTCTTTCTGAGAAATGTCCTCGTAGACCTGCCCAGAGACAGGGCTCTTGGTTGATTATAAACCCCAATCAAGCAGACAACCAACATTAGCCCCCAGTGGGTAGTCAACCCCTTTTATCCCCCTCCCCATTCTGCCTCTTCCACATTTTCTACCTGTCTCCTTCTCTATCACTTTTTCTGTTTTTTCCAAACCTGCTCTCACTGAGAGATGTGGAAGTCTTTTGCCCCGCTCTCGTTTGCCATGGGCCTCCAGGGGGCATGACCTCCCGTCATACATGAGTGCCGCTGTCCCTTTTTATGTGTTTTTAAAATATTTTCATCCCAAGTTTCATGCAAATTTGAAAGCATGATGCTTGAATCTGCCCAGATGTCATATCAGCTTCTTTCTCACACATGTATAAAATGAACCTGAATGAAGTCTCTGCTTTTTTCCAAAAGGGAAAATTCTGGAGTTGCTGTCAAGAGGCTCAGTGAATTCAGAAACCAGGCTGGTTCTTGTCAATGCCTTATACTTCAAAGGGAGGTGGTGGCGACAGTTTAACCTAGATTCCACGAGGGAAATGCCCTTTAAAATAAACCAGGTAAGGAAGAGTATACAGAAGTCCATGCCAGTGTGACAAAGAAACAGCATGAAAATGTGTAACCATGAATTTGTAGCTCTGGGGCTTGTTGGTAGAGATCGCATGTTCTGTGTTGGGTGCTGGACTTGACCTTTAGCTCAGAAAGAAAGAAAACAAGAAAGTACATAAAATAGTTTGAAACTTACATTTGTGAATGGAAGGTTAAGCTCAGTTAAAGATGTTAGGAATAAAGGATATTTACTGTCCATGGTTTTTTGCTTTCTGTTGCTGGCTTGTACAGCATCTGATAATTTCTCATAAAACCATTGTTTCTACCTCATCTAGAAACTAAATTTTCCATTAGCTTCAAGAATGCCAAAACTTAAGGGAGCACAATTTATGTATGCAAAATGATATGCAAAGTAAAAAGAAATATACAAAAATTAATTTAATAGAGTGATTTTAATTAAAATAAACATTATAAATTATTAGTCAAGTTATCATTATTAATTATCAATTATAGCTTTCTAATATTGAAACATAGTGATTCAAATTTCAGTCTTAATTAGAATTTAAGTTGAGTTAAAGGAGATATTAGAATAGATTGCCCAGTATTATACAAGTATAACTGGAACCTTATGAATGTTAAAATCCCTGTTTCCTTTTTATTAGCAACAGTATTTTTAAAACTTTGTAAGCACTTGGGAGGCAGAGGCAGGCAGATCTCTGTGAGTTCGAGGCCAGTCTGGTCTACAAGAGCTAGTTCCAGGACAGGTTCCAAAGCTACAGAGAAACCCTGTCTCAAAAAAACCAAACCAAAACAAAACAAAAAAAACCTTTGTTTAAGAAGAGTAGTTCTCTTAATTTAATCTTTATTATGAATTATCTGTATCAAATTTGTGTATTTGTTGTACCACCGTAATTCAAATTTTTCCATGTGTACCACTTCTATAGTTAAAATATACCATAGGACTATAAGAGCTGAAAGAACTGGATTAAATAATAGAAAGACACATGAGGTTCTTCCAGAGGGTCACTAACTTTTAAAGAACTGGTAAGAACTTTCTTTCTGTGGTGGGTCATCAGACTGTAAATGCATTTACAAAGATACATGAAAATCTGTCTAGACAGCCCACAGCTTGCAATTTAACTGGGATTTTGTTTCTGATTGGCTCTCAGGATGTAGCTCTACCCTAAGACTGTGAGTTCTGTGCCCTGAAGCTTTCTACTTGATGTTGGATTAGAAGGTCCTGAGCCATCATGCACCCTTGCACTTGTGTGCTCCTCTTGCCAGACTGTTTTCTACCTGCAGTTCCATTGAAACCATTATGAATGTATTCCAGTCTGGTTGTGAACATTTTTTTCCTGTTATTTATATGCTGTTTCATTAGATATAATTGTTGATCCTATTAAATGATCAAAATCCTACATGTGATATAATGGTCACCTTTCCATTAGAGTAATAAACTATCTGAGCTAGTCAATGTAAAAGGAGAAAGTATTTATTTTGGCTCATAGTTCCAGAGGTTTCAGTCTGGGTCAGTTGGTCCAATCAACCAGTTGTGGTGGTAGTGGAAATGCATGATGGAGGCTTGTTCACCTCACAGCCGCCAGGAAGCAAAAGAAAGAAACAAGAAGGGGCCATGGTGGCAATATCCTCTCCAGAAGCTCCCCTTCTTCAATATTTAACTTTCTGCCATTAGATCCTACACCCTAAAGATTTGTCCAATTCCCAATATAGAATTTCCCTGTAGAGAAAGGCCTTTTTGGAACATTGGATTCAACTAGTACTTAAATATTAATATTTGAATGACGCATTTCTTTTTCCGGATAATGTATCATTTTCCCAAGTAAATCATTGTCCTGGTTATTGTTTCAGCAACTTGACACAAATAAGAACCATTTAAAAAGAAGGAATCTACTTTGAGAAACTGCCTGCATAAGATTTGTCTAGTGTAATGAGTATTTCTCTGTCCTGTCAGCCAGCTTCCAAATAATGATATGGAGATCTTTTTATTAATTATGAGAGCTCAGCCTATATCTTAGGCTTGTTCTTAACTATCTCTTGTAATTTAAATTAACTCATTTATATATGTTTTATTATGTGTTGGGGCATCTCTTACATATTTTATCTCCTGTTTCCTTTCTCTCTTGGCTAGTGACTCCACCACTTCCTCTTCCCAGAATTCTCTCTCTCTGCCCAGATGTCCTGCCTATACCTCCTGCCTAGCTATTGGCCATTTAGCTCTTTATTGAGCTAATCACCACAATACATTTTCACATAGGGTTCAAATATCCTACAATAGCCTAGAGGCAAGTCTGTTTAGCATTTTCTCATTTAATGATTGGTGTGAACCCAGCGCACTGTGGGCAGTGCCAACCCTGGAAAGGTGGTCAGAGCTGTGCAAGAACACAGGCTGAGAAATCCATGGGGAACAAGCCAGTACGAAGCACTCCTCCACGGCTTCTGCCTGAGTTCCTGCTCTGACTTCTGTCAGCGGTGGAATGTGACCTGAGAGTTGTAAGAGAAAATAAACCCTTTCTTCCCCAAGTTGCTTTTGGTCATGGTGTTTTCTCAAAACTGCAGAAACCCTATCTACATATCCCATATCTGCTTACAACAATTACTTTTTATAAAAGCACAGAGCAGCTGGCAGACGTTGACTAAGGGTTCACTGGAATATGAATACTGTTTTTCATTGTGAGTGCTAAAAACATTTCTGACATTAACTGCAGCTTATTTTGGAAAAACTCTGCCCTCTTTCATTGATCTTTTATGTCCTTGATTTGTGTGTTCAGAGGGAGGAAGGAACAGTGCAGATGATGCATCAGGAAGACACGTTTAACTACGCCTATGTGGATGAGGTACAGGCACTGGTGCTGGAGATGCCCTATAAGGGCAAGGAGCTAAGCTTGGTGGTTCTGCTCCCGGATGATGGTGTGGACCTCAGCAAGGTGAGGCAGGAGAGTCCTTAGCAGTCACTGCTCTGAATGTCTGTGAGAAGACTGCAACGTCCCCATTGTCTTTCCTCATTACAACAGAACTCAATGCTTTTACTTTTCCAGCTTCCATTTGAGAGCGTGGACTTTTAAACTCAGCTGTAGCATGAATAATAAAATCCCAGAGACAGATATTGGGGTTCAGTCTAAAGATCAGAAGAGCAAAACAGCCAGCCACTGGTTCTTACCTCTACCTCAGACTGAAATGGCAATCCTGCCTCCATGAAACCTCAGAAAGAGACTAACTGAGACCTGTCTCCTCCTATCATATATTCCTCTCTAGTGCTGGGATTAAAGGTGTATGTCACTACTGCCTTGTCTGTATGGTTGACCAGTGTGGCCATTTTACTCTCTGATCTTCAGGTAAGCTTCATTTATTAAAATACAAGTGAAATATCTCTACGCTCAACTCCAAGCTGTGTTCAGGCACTGGGATATGTGATCCAAGTTGTGTCCAAGATTCCAATTGTGAGCAGTGTGATCTTGCCACATGATATAACATCATCCTAGAATGGGCAATGGCTACCTGATAGGATTCAATGGAGGCAACTCAGGTAGTAAACTCAGGTAGTAAAATCCACAGTGCTTGGAACTTGGTCCCCCCATTCATAAATATTAACTGACTCATATCTTTGTTAATATATTATTACCTGAGAACATAAAACAGATAAAAAATTAAGGCAATAAATAGGAAGAGTAGGGAAAAAGCTGGGGAAGGCAGAGGTAGGCACATCGTTATGACACATCTTGGTCTTGTATCAGGGTGTCCCACATTGTGTCTGTCGGATATCTGATGAATAGAGGGCAGTGGAATGTGCATGAC